TTGTTCCCTTATAGGGAAAGAACTAATACCATTAATACATTGAGCTACTTTATTCTCGAAAGCACCCTCAAAATAGTAGAGACCAGCCATCATTTTAGCACTGCCAATCATCTTCCTTGATGTTTGGTCCCGAAAAATACAATGAGTGTTAAAGAATTTCACATTGCAATCAGAATCATTGCAAATTTTACTATTAGAGAGAAGGTAACAGGAAAGTTTTGGTAGATGTAACACTTTTTTTTAAGTTAATGTGTTCAGATAACTTAATACTCCCTTCTCCTTATTGCCGGAAAACTACCATCTGCAATTCTAATCTTTTTATTTTTGGAAAAGGAGAATAAGTTTTAAATAAAGAAGAAAGACTGGTCATGTGATTAGAAGCACTTGAATCAATGATCCACATGAAGAACTAAATTATAGCAACCTTATGAGTTCCTCTTTTGACACCTTGTGTTATTTTAGGCTATCCATCAGATTGAATGAATTGATTTTCGGATTTCTTAATAGTTGAACATAGATATAAACATGAGCTATGTCTGTATTGTGCATGTAGAATGAGCTTGAATATGGAGGTGAGGAGGCACCAGCATCCCCAAGGCAGCCGATGCATCAACAGAACTCCCAGAATGCAATGCACAATAACTTCGGTGCGTGTGTACCCTCTAATGCATTTGGAGCAACTGCAGTAGGACAAGGGATACGTGCTGGGCAACCTGATCAACAAGCAAAGAACTCTGTGTTCTCAAATGCACTCTCTAGCCCCATTCGTCGCAGCCTTCAGCCGTATCATATGGCACAGGGAGGCTTTTCTTCAGGTAATATAATGTCATCTGGAAATGGAACCCGGAATAGTGAGATGACTTATCCTAGCGGCCTGAACAGGGACATGAATTCTTCCAATACCAGTGATTGCATGGACATGCATTCAGACAGTCCTGCTCATGATTTTTCATACTGATGCTGTCATAGTTAGAATAGGGAACAGAAAAGATCATTTATGAAATATGTTGTCATAAATGTGTGGTGAAAAATGTCAAATTTATTGTGGATATACTTCAATTTATTTGTGTAGTATTGTCTTCCAGTTTGAAGCTTGAACCTTGAACTATGTTAAACAGATAGTTCTTGAAAATGTTGGTCATCTCCCAAACAATAGTCATACTAGTGTTTGGTGTTTGCATGAAATTTTGCCTAGTAAACTACTCGATTATTTATTCGTATTAACAAATCAATATTTGTATATGAGGGCATTTAAATACAATTTTAATAGCATTTTTGAAAAAAAATTTATTAAAAAATACTTTTTATTTCTAATAGAAAAGGTCTTAAAAATGTTTCTACATATTTTATGATTAGACTGTTTTAAACTATACATGAAAGGGTTTGAGATTAGCGGTTGAAGCTTTGCATTTTGCAACTTTAGGTGTTTGAATTTACAGGCGGGGGCCTTCTTCCGGCTGGGAAAATCATGCTAGACAACCAGAAACAAAAAGATGCACACTTTAGAGAGTAAATTACACATTTACACTTATTCGTTTTGGTTTGTTTAAATTTTATATAATATAAGGGAATGAGATGTGTTTCAATCAATTAAGAGGGTTTATTGTATCGGAAAAGAAGAATTAGCAGGAGTGTCATGTAATCTAAAAAAAAATAATTATAAAGGGTGTGAAGGTAATTTGCTCTTGGTTTCTATAGTGGTTAAGATGGGATTTGAATTCATTTCAGTGGAAATTATATGAAACATTCTTTTATTTTTTTTTATTTCTTTAACTAGATAGACAATGTTTTATTAAAACATTATTTTAATTTTAGATATACTCAATAAGTCGTTGGCGGTAACGAATTCGGTTCTTTTTAAACATGGAGTTAATTTTATAAATTTTAGATAAGCAATAATCAATAAGTTGTAAGTGGTAATCAATTTGATTTTTTTTTTTAAATAAGGTTAGCGATTCAAGTTTTGTGAATGGAAAGAGATTAGTTAGAAGGGAAAAAGTGATCAAACAAGTTTTTTTTTTTTGGTAGATATTAATTTTTCACAAAATTGATGAATATTTTGTGTTGACGATATTCAGTCAAAAAAAAATTTATTCAAATATTTATTTTAAAAATTCATAAAAACAAAATTAAAGATAATAAAATTTATGAAAAATGTATTGTAATAAAATAATTAATATTTAAAACATGATTTAAGTGAAGAGAGATAACTCAATTCTTGATAGAGTTGATTATTATATGTAGGACAAATCCATTTATTTTGATATAATTTTTTTATAAAATTATTTTACTTAATGACTCAATTTGGATTAAGGTAACGACATATCATAATTTTAATTTTATAAAAAAAATAGATTTGATCTATACATTAAAAGTTTTTAATTTAATAATTAAATTGTTAAAATTTAATGTAAATTTTAATTTTGAGTTATTGAGTGAAACGACTCCGTTGATAATTACTTTTTATTCAAGTTTTATGATTCAACTCTTGACTTAGAAGGATAGACCAACATTTTATAACCACAATTAGGATGATTAGATGGGTTGGGTTCGGCGAGCTAACTCACTAAACCTATGTTTTTATTATACAACAGTTTGAGGTTTTCAACCCACTAACTATCTTTAACCCATCCCATTTTAACTTGTCAAGAAAATAGGTTAAAGGTGAGTCGAGGTGGATCAACTTGTCAATTTTCTTTTTTAATTTTTTTTTATATTGTGTTACTTTTTTGTTGTTGTAGGATATCACTTTATTATAAATCTATAAGATTTATATGAATAGTAGTATTAATTTTGATTTTATTTTTGAACTTATGCTTTGTATAATAATATATAATTTGTATATGTACATTAACTTACTATTTTTATTTTGAAAAATGAATCAGTCACCAAAAATCGATCTAAGATCAGAATCGATGCAAGGTAGAGAATTAGTTAAATTATTCTAAAATTGACATAGAAATTTGGTTTGAACGGATCTTGTTCAAAAATATATTTTTTAATTTTTTAAATTTGTATTTAAATTATTTTTATAAAATTTATAAAATATAACTAATTATTTTAAATTTTTATAAAAAAAATACATTAACTATACTTAAAGAACTATATTTTAATTTTGTTCAAAAGTTTATATTAGGATGTGAAAAATCTTATATAGTTTATTGATTTTATATTATTGGAGTATTAACAATCATAAATATTTGGTAGACACACTTTTTCTTTAACAAAATTCATTCATGAATTTGTAATTTTCAATAATTTGAATTAATAATAAAAAAAGGTGTTAGAAAATGTTTCAAAAACATGTAACATGATAAAATAATTGTAATGACCTACCTTAATCTCTATACTTAATGGTTTAACTACTAGCAACAAAAAATATACAAGTATTTGAGATTAATATATAAACAATACCTATATATACACATAATAAGAGGATGGTTCAAATGACACCGGTATAACTTTTACTAAGTGTTACACCACTCAATAATTTTATATTAAATGTGAATTTTGAAAATCTAACCGTTAGATTGAAAGTTCATATCTCTTAGATCATATATAACAAATTTTATATTAATCTAAGATGATTTGATACTTCATTTTCATAAAATAAAATTGACGTAATATATACATTTCAAAATATACTAAAATACGAACACTTTGATTACCTTCAAGTTATTGTTCAATTTTAACAAAATTTGACATATATGATCTAAGAGATATGAACTTTCAATCTAACGGTTGAATTTTCAAAATTCACATTTAATATAAAGTTATTGAGCAGTGTAACACTTAGTAAAAATTACACTGGTGTCGTTTGAACCCTCCTTACATAATAATATATAAAAGTAAAGAATATTCGTAACAACAACTAAAGAAATATAATAACTATACATGTATATATACACATGTACAAAATCTAGTATTTAATATTAATCATAAGTAGGGATGACAAATATACCCGTACCTGCAGGTAATACCCGATCCCGTCCCGATTTTTACGGGGAATACCCGGTTTGACCGGGTACGGGTACGGGTACAGGTAAAACCCGATATATTAAATCGGGGTACGGGTATGTACTTACACGTACTCGTCCCCGTCCCCGTCCCCGTTCTCATTTTTAATTTAATACCTACTTTCAATTTAATTATATTAAATAATCTTAATATTTTTTTATGTGTAATTATTTATTATAATATGAGATAAAAAATTAACTTAATTATAATTATAATATAATTAAAAAAATAATTTAAAAATATTATCTTTTAAAAAAAATAAAAAAATAAAAATTTTGACGGGTACGGGTACGGGTATACCCGATACCCGACGGGGTCACATACCCGACGGGTATGGGGATGGGGACGGGTATGAGACTGAGTTGTGGGGACGTGGACGGGTATCATGAAACCCGTACCCGCCCCGCCCTGTTGCCATCCCTAACCCTAAGTTGTCGGTCAAACAATTCGACAATACCAGTTACATCAGAGTAGCCCAAAACATTTAGCTCCATCATCAACCAACATGGCCTCAAAACCTAGCATCATGCCTCAAATCTAGCCTTACCTTTTTTCCATGTTTTTTCATCATAGTTCAACCATAAAAAAAACATGCAATGATAAGTTGGTATTCAAAAGAATAACCATGCGAAAAGGTATAGAAAAAAAGACAATTATACTACTAATTAGGAGTGTACAAAAAATTCAAATTGATCCGAACCGATCCATAATCGATCCGATCCATATTGAAAAATCTGATCCATTTTGAAAAAAAATCCGAACCAAACCACTTTATAAAACTGGTTCAGTTATCCGATCCATTTTTACAAAGTGGATCGGTTCGGTTCGGTTTGGTTTTTTAAAAAAACCAATCCATATATGAGTAAAAAGTGGATAACTGCACCGCACCAAACCGATCCAATTTCAAAAAAACTGATCCACTTTATAAAAAATGGATCGGTTAACCGATCCACTTTTATAAAACGGTTCAGTTCAATTTGGATCGGTTTTTTGAAAAAAATAATCCATGAACACCCCTACTACCAATCACTTACATGTAAGTTGTACAACATAGCATCTCATGGTCTACAACATAGCAATACATCAATAAAATCTCAAAATGACACTCAACAACCTTATAAAGGTAATTAATTTAACAACATATGCCAACAACCATACCATTCAACAACAATACCACACAACATGTGAACTACACCAAGATCACCTCACCATATGCAATACACTTCAATTATATGCATCACCACACATTCACCTATGAAGATCCCCTACAACAAAGGTAAACAGTTTAAGTAGATTAACCCTACCAAATCAACATAATCTTTTTACACCTGCTAAATCAACAACCAAGTTGGATACTAATCTGTAACAACATAGTTTCTCAAATTTTACCACTTAAACTAGAAAGTATAATATTCTTGTCAAGGTATAACAACTTGAGTGTGAGTCTACCACAACATTAACTTGCATAATTAAGCCTCTTTTGGGATTAGCCTGTTGACTATCTTTTAAATACTATGCCCTTCTAGTACTCAAGTAGAGACTAAGTCTTCAACCTTTTATCTTACACGGTTGGTCTCTTTATACATGTATGTCTCAACCTTGCCACATACAGATCAACATTGATCACTTATAGCCAGTATGCCTCAACTTAGGCCACATACTGCATTAACTAGGGTTCTAAAGGAGACTCAAATATTCACTTCAATAGACAACAACTTAAGAAGTGTTTTCAACAACTGAGCTCATAGAGCAGCACTACAATATTCTCAGTATTGGATATACAACTTTCGAAAACACCCTCTCCTTTAGTTTTAAGTCAATCAATCCAACACACCTTGATGCCCTTATGCCTAAAGTATTATAAACACTATCACCTCAATAGTTCAACAATCAATCATTTATATACATTATTTTAGATCAATGTATATGGAAAATAAACAGTAGAGACAAAATTGGGGTCAAACTCACTATCCAGCATATATCTCATGTCCATAACAAGACTACTCACTCCCCATTTACCTTGATAAGAACTAGAAGACAGACGTGGATCTTTGGGATGTCCTCTTACGAGCTCCAATTTTAAAGCTCACAAGCATAAAGGAGAACAAAAGAGCGTAAAATTAAAACTGAAGAAAAAAAAAATTCTTTTTTTCAAAACTTAACCTCAT